TTTTCCAGAATGTCATATAGTTGGAATCACACAGTATGTTCACTATTTGATTTTTTTAAAAATTAACTTAATTATTATCTGTGCCTCTGCCTGGAGTAAAGACTTCAAGAGAACAAGGGCCTTATCTGTCTTGTTTTCTCCTTTGCCCACAGTGCCAACAACAATCAGTCCCATGGTGGATATTCTACAGGAATTTGTTGATTGAATGAATCTACGGACTAACCCAACAGAGAACAATTACCTGCACTTTTGAAATGCTGCTTTCTTGATTTGTTCTAATAACTTTGGAGCAGAATTACCTAGGTTTCTGACTTTTATGTTGGTGTTTTGCAAATATTGGGAAAGGAAGAGTGGTCCCCTGGCTCCCAAGTGGTTGACGGTGGGGCTACCATAGATCCTTTTGACACATGAGACCACATGAGGATCAATGTAGGGATTTATCTAGTCATGTTGGATATATGGGCACTCCCTGGGTTAGAAATGCAGCATCTGAAACATGTCCTATATGTTCATAGCAGGCTCTGCTCTGCCCCTCTCTGCCCTTTAGTACTCAAAGGATGCAAATGAATCTGCTTTCTCACTTTCCCGCTTTTATCTTTGCCTTTGCTCTTATCACATACATTATCCCCTGAACAATCTCCATTTTTATCACTCCCTACCCCTTTCTATTCTTCCCCCTCCTTCCATCCTCTTTTATCTGTGAAGCAGAAAAACACCCTAATTGTGAATGACAGGAGAGGGAACAGCACTTGAGATTTCCTGTATTAAGGAAAGAAGAGCCACATATCTTAAAGTGTAATTAACCGTAACAAGGAACCACACTCTTTAAAACAGTAAGAAATGCCCAGAAGTTTCTACCACCATTTCCATAAAACCTCCAACCTTTTCTCATTAAAATTATTTTTCCTTAATCTCCACCACCTAAAATATAAAAATTTATTTTCTTACTCAATTCTTAAATTATTCTTTGTTTATTGAGTCACAATTTTTAGAAATTTTATTTCTTAATGCCTGACCCATGGGAGATTCCTCTGAGTTCCCTATGAAGGAAGATTTAGGATGTTCTTGCTGCTTCCTATATTTTGGACTCTAGGAAACATGTCCATTTTTATCCTGTTTAAGGTCTTACGTGTATACATCCTTCAAATTTCGACTTAGGCAGCTTCCGTCTTTCCAGACTAAGCCCCAATCTTTCTAACAGAAACCCCTTCCCAGCAGGGGGAGCACAAATGAACAGAATCCAATAAAACACTTTGTAACACTGTTGATTGTGGATAGAATAAGTAGCATGATGTCTTTTTAGGGGGTATGTAAAAACTAAGGAAGAAGCATTTTTTAAAATGCGCAAAATTAAAAAGAACATAGCATCCAGGAGAAAAGAGACAATAAAATCTATTTGTGAATTTCGGTTATGAGACATCATAAAATTTTCAAAAGAATAGAAAAATCTTATTATTCTACTTGAAAGATAACTATTAACTCATTCAATACCAAAGAGCATTGCCTAATTTAGTGGGACAGGTTTATTTTGGGTTCTATTTCTTTTTTCAACTAGAAATATGCTTTTAAGGGCTGCATGAGGCATACATTTATACTTTTACACCATTCATCCACCTAAAAAATTAGTTGGTATCTAACTAATTTAGCCTTTGAGGTTATAATCACCTCTTTTTCATAGAATGCTTTCAAGGCCTTTTAAAAATAAGGAAATCAACCATTCCTTAGGGAGCAATCTTGTCCCAAAGACACACTTCCTTTTTTAAATTTTTCCTGAGTTTCATAAAGATGATATAAAAGGAGAAATAAAGTAAGCCCAAAGTGTGCCCATGAGACTATAATGACTTT